AGATTGTGCCCGTTCCGAACTTGAACTGCTTCCGTTCTTCGATCAGCCCTACGACTACACTAATCAAGCCGCGCACAAGCTAGTTGTCAAAGAAGACACTGACATTCCACCGACCACAGCTGTTTTGCTTCCTGTGGTCTCCGACGGCATGCGTGATGAAGTAGCATTTTTCGAGCCATCAAGCTTCTTTCCAAGTCGGAAACCACTTCTGCTCCCTTATTCAGCCCTCTCAATTTCTAATGGAGCCAGTGCTCTCTGCCTTACCAATCCCTTTCCACATACCATCAAACTGTTTAAAGGCGAGTCTCTTGCATGCGTACAGCCCAGTGATAACGGACAACATTTAACCGTGCCGCAAGAATCATCCCAAAGTGACCTCGCCGCCGTCAGTGCTCTTAACTACTCTCTTATACAGGCTTCAAAAGTGTTCGATTCGGCGATCGCAGGCGGACTGTCACCATCTGAACGATCTGATCTCCTCCAACTGCTGTACCAGTACCGCGAATCTTTCGATGTTGTTCAACCTTAACTTGGCCGCACTTCTACCACTCTACATTACATCGATACCGGCTCCCATGCGCCACTACGACAGCAACCATATCGTGTTTCTGCGGCGGAACGCTAAGTTATTACCGAACAGGTGAACGATATGCTGCAACGTGGCGTCATTCAACCTTCACAAAGTTCATGGGCCTCACCTGTAGTGCTCGTTAAAAAAAGAATGGTTCCGTTCGCTTCTGGGTGGATCACCGGCGCCTAAATAAGATCACTCGAAGAGACGTGTATCCTTTACCCAGGATTGACGATGCCCTTGATACTTTACAATGTGCCGAGTTTTTTTCATCATTAGATTTGCGCTCAGGGTACTGGCAGGTCCCCCTTGCAGATGCCAATCAACCGAAAACAGCCTTCGTGACACCGGACTGTCTGTATGAGTTTAATGTCATGCCCTTGGGCCTCTGCAATGCGCCTGCCACCTTCGAGCGCATGATGGACTCGGTTCTTCGGGGTTTGAAATGGCAAATCTGTCTGCTATCTCGACGATATAGTCGTCTTTGCGCCAGACTTTGGAACACACCTCGAGCGCCTCAAACACGTCCTCACGTGCCTGAAGAATGCTCAGCTCCAACTCAACCTCAAGAAGTGTCACTTCGCTGCTCGGCAACTTACGATTCTCGGGCACGTCGTATCAAAGGACGGTATACTTCCAGACCCAGCTAAGTTACGTGCTGTCGCAGACTTCCCCAAACCAACGACTATGAAGCAGTCACAGAGCTCGTGGGGTTACGCTCCTACTTTCGCCGGTTTGTGCGCAAATTCGCCTCTATCATTGCGCCTTTGACCGAACTTGTAGGCAACACCACTGATATTTCGTCATGGTCTTCTGAGTGTGACCAAGCCTTCTGTACGCTTCGTCGTCTCCTCACTTCGCCGCCAATACTGCGTCACTACGATCCTACGGCAGCAACTGAGGTCCACACCGACGCCAGTGGTGTCCGCCTCGGTGTGGTTCTCACGCAACGCAAGCCTCGATTCGCCGAGTACATCGTCGCCTACGCCAGCAGAACTCCTACCAAGGCTGAATCAAACTGCAGCGTCACCGAGAAGGAATGCTTGGCGATTGTTTGGGCGCTTGTCAAGTTCCGACCATACTTTAGGCCGTGCTTTTGATGTAGTAACGGACTACCACGCATTATGCTGGTTATCTTCGCTTAAGGACCCATCGGGTCGTCTTCCCGTTGGGCTTATCGGCTTCAAGAATATGACATTCGCGTGGTATATCGTTCCGGTCACAAGCATGCCGATGCTGATGCACTCTCACGATCTCCCCTATCCCCGGACATCGCATCTGTGTCCTTGGACAACACGTTGTCAGCGGTTGACGAGGACACCATCTGTTCTTCACAACACAATGACCCATGGATCACTTCGCTTCTTGACGCGTTATCCGAGGCACCGACACTTCCAACCACTCGAACCCTGCGCCACCAGGCTCCGCACTTCACTATTCAGGATGGCCTTTTGTACCGGCGCAACTATTCAGCAGATGGTAGGAAATGGCTACTAGTCATTCCCCGAACGCTGCGCTCTACCATCTGCGCGTCGTTTTATTCCGACCTGCAATGTGCTCACGCCAGTGTTTTCAAGACCTACGAGCACCCAAGAAAAAGGTATTACTTGCGTGGAATGTTTAACTTCGTCCGCCAGATCATTCGCGGCTGCCACGAATGTCAGCCGCGGAAAAGCCCGCCACATCCTGCAACAGGTTCATTGCAGCCACTTCCATGCCCAGACCCGCCCATTCGACCGAATAGGAATTGACCTCTACGGACCACTACCATTAACAATGGCAGGCAACCGATGGGCTATCGTGGCAGTGGATCATCTAACACGGTACGCTGAAACTGCTGCTCTCCCCACAGCTGCAGCACAAGACGTCGCAACTTTCATACTCAATCGTTTTGTGCTTCGTCATGGTCCTCCTCGAGAACTCCTCAGTGACCGAGGGCGTGTTTTCCTCTCCGATGTAATACAAGCACTTCTTCAACAGTGTCATATGGTTCACCGGAAGAGTACAGCCTACCACCCACAGACGAACGGCTTGACTGAGCGGTTTAATCGTACTCTGGGGGACATGCTCGCTACGCATGTCTCTTTTGATCAAACAAACTGGGACCTCGTTCTCCCATTTGTTACATACGCGTATAACACCGCTACGCAAGTCACTACCGGGTTTTCCCCTTTTTTTCTCCTGTACGGTCGCGAACCATCACACACCATCGACAGTTTACTGCCACATTCACCAGATCCCTCTGAATACAAGCCTGTTTCGGAAGTCGCTCATTACGCAGAAGATTGCCGCAAGCTAGCCAAGCGGCTTACTACCTTCGACCAACAGCGCCAGAAGGAGATCCGTGACAACGACCATCGTTCTGCACCAACGTTCGTTCCTGGAGCACTTGTATGGCTCCATTTACCGCCCTGCGCTCCTGGTGTATCACCCAAACTACTCTCCAATTATCATGGTCCCTACCGCGTGGTCGAGTGTATTTCACCCGTGAACTACGCCATTGAACCCCTCACGCCACCGAGCGACCATCGTCGGCGTGGACGTGATATCGTTCACGTAAACCGTCTGAAGCCGTACTTTGACCCGCTTGTCCCCACGTGTTAGGCCCCGCCGCGGTGGTCTAGTGGCTAAGGTACTCGGCTGCTGACCCGCAGGGCGCGGGTTCGATTCCCGGCTGTGGCGGCTGCATTTCCGATGGAGGCGGAAATGTTGTTGGCCCGTGTACTCAGATTTGGGTGCACGTTAAAGAACCCCAGGTGGTCTAAATTTCCGGAGCCCTCCACTACGGCGTCTCTCATAATCAAATGGTGGTTTTGGGACGTTAAACCCCACAAATCAATCAATCCCCACGTGTTAGATCGCCAGGATGGCTTCTACTTTTTCGCCGGGGGTAATTGTAGTGAATAGGAAAGACGTTGATACCATCAGGTCAGCTATCATCAGCACAAAAAAAAAGGCACGAGATTTGCGATCGAGCACCGTCATCTGGGTTCACCTGCCTTCCTTTAGAGCTACCACCCGCTTGCTGAGTCCTTCAATAAACCCCCTTTACACCTGTAATATTTACCTTTGGGTGACGTCCTATTTTTAGAACAAGAAAGAGGGGAGGAAAGCTGCTGACGAGATCAGTGGCGAGTAATGTGATGGCCGGGTCACTAGGCTGAACAGGTTGTAGAGCTTCAAAGAACTGAGCGTTGGGCGAGTTAGTATTCCATTCTAGATGAAGTTTCCCGTAAAAAAGAAAGGATAAGACGCGAGAGAGCACAGACAGGCATAGCCTGTGCTCTTTTTTTGTCCATATTTTTTGTACACGCCATCCCCAAGAGGGGGGGGGGAGAAAACACTAATACTACAGCCCGCTAGACGGCACAGCTCAATGAAGGACGGAGGGACATGGTTATGAGAGCACGAGAGAAAAAAAGAGCACCGCCTCAAGAAACTAGGCGTATTTTCTGTCTTCATCACGGGAGAGAGTTGGGCCACGCTGCAGCGTTTTTTTTTTTCTTTTCAGTTCCGCTAATATGGTCGTGAAGGCTTTTTTTGAGGGGGGGGGCAGTCATGTTTTTCCACCCAACAGTTAAAACACAAAATGTTCGGTGTCCTGTCCACCTTTCTCCCTGAAAAAGAAAACGCATGTTTCTATCTGTTCCTTACGAACAGTGCTTCAATACCAGAAGCAACGACGCTGGCCTGTGAACAGGACAGGGGAGAAGAGATCACTTCCCATGACCTCAGACGTTTGCGCGTACCTGTAAGTTGGGTGAACTGGTCGACCTTCTTTCACTTCTGCCAGTATATGATGAAAATGAAGTTGGCATAGGCGGCCTGTTGTTAGTACCTTTTATTGCTGTGGTGTCCAGCCGAGTGCCGCATTTGATCAAGCTGATAATGCGAACGCGCATGAAATGAATAAAAGCATGCACCGCATCTCGCCCGGGGCTTATTTGGACCGGGCCACGGAACGATGAACATGTGGCGATAAACGTCACTTGTCTGCTCCTCTTTCGTCACTTGTCTGCTCATCTTTCTAGGAAACTTGTCTGCTCCTCTTTCGCATGAACCGACGCTTACACAACAACTGGCGACAAGGATGAAATTTTAAAGCCGTAGTTCTTCACTTTGAAAGGCAAGTGTTTCCAATTTCGGCTCGGTGAAGGAGACCGTTTTTTGCACTGTGCAGAGCAGTTGACTTTTATCATGATTGACGCCGAGGCAGCGGGGACGCACTTCGCCGGGAGACTAGGGCAGCTGGCACCTTTCGACGAGTCTGCCAGCGACTGGGCTTCGTCTGAAGAGCGCCTTACGTCGTTCCTGATTATTAACGGTGTACCCGACAGAGACAGGTGCACGCGTTTTTTAGTATCGTCGGTTTCAAAACTTACGGGCTGTTGAAGTCATTAACAGCTCCAGAACTGCCTTCTACAAACAGTTCCGAAGTCCTCAAGAAAGTTTTGAGCGACCATTTGTTCCCGAAGTCGTCCGTTATTGGAGAGCGGGCCAAGTTTCACCGGAGGTGTCAAAAGGAAGGCGAGTCCTCGTCCGAGTTTGTCACCAAGCTTCGTAAAGTGTCGCACACGTGCCAGTTTGGAAGTGCACTGGACGAATTTCTTCAAACCCGCTTCTTGAGTGGCCTGCTACGAGAAGACATTCAGCGAGTGCTTTTCACGGAAGATAGGTAAGCTAACGTTCTAGAAAGCGGTGAAGCGGGCTCTGGCCATAAAAGCGGCTAAGAAGAGCGCCGCTGAGGCACGCTTTGGTTACTGCGCAGTCTGCGATGTGCACAAGGTGCAAGCGGATTCCCAGAAAACAATTTAAAGCTGTTTTTGCTGCGGTTCGCCAAAACACAGGAGTGAAGCGTGCCCGCATGTGGACGGAACCTGTTTCAGCTGCGACAAAAAAGGGCATATCCAGAGAGCGTGCCGAAGTGGTCGTAAGAGTTCTTCTAAGAAGCCAGGGGAAAGCAATGCCAAGATTCTGACGGTTGTGTCGCGGAAAGCTTCGATCCTCAGTCTGAATGGCATGCCCACGGCTAAGCTCGACCCAGTCACCATACAGATGACTATCGAAGGCGTCTTGGTGAACATGAAGCCAGACACGGGTGCAGCTGTTTCCTTCATGTCAACGACTCAGTTCCGTCCTGGAGCCCACTTAAGTAACGCTTTGTACCTACGCAGGAGCACTGGTACGACCCCAGGGGGTGTCTTTGGTCAACGTGCAGCACGGCGAACATTTGGCGCGTCGTCCGCTTCACGTCATAGACTACAAGGAACCACCTCCACTGGGCCGAGAGTGGGTACACGTCTTCCAACTGGACTGGGCGAAAATATGGAGCCTGAATCACATTTCAAGGTCAGACACAACCCATATCCGCGTAAAAAGAGGCTCGACGTAATGTTGGCGAGGTACCAACCCCTTTTCAAAGACGACTTAGGCACGATAACGAAAGAGCGTGCCCAACCTTTTCTTAAACATCATATAAAGCCAAAATTCCTAAAGGCCAGGAATGTTCCATTTGCATTTCAAAAAGCTTCTGACGACGAGTTGGCTAAAATTAAGAAACTAGGGATAATATTGCCAGTTATGACATCGAAACATGCTACGCCGGCAGTACCGGAAATCAAGCAAGCTAGCAGTATAAGTATTTTTGGTGAATACAGAATGACCGTTAACCCGTGCCTTGATGTTGAACGTTACCAATTGCCGAAGGTGGAAGACCTGTTCGCCGCTTTGTCGGGAGTTAAGCATTTTTTGAAGATTGATCTTAATCTGGCCTATCAGCAAGTAGTTATGACAGAGTCATCGAATCAATACCTCACGTTAAATACGCAAAAAGGATTGTTTGCTGTTCATAGACTCGCGTTTTGAATTTCATCCGCTACCGGTATTTTCCAAAAAATAGACACAATGCTGAAGGGTTTACGCGGGCTTTGCTGCTACTTGGACCACATCTTGGTGTCTGTTAAGGATAGGGAAGAACATTTCATGAATCTAGTAGCTTTGATAAAGCGCCTTCTTGAAAGAGGCGTCTACGTCAAGAAGGAGAAATGTTCCTTTTTCCAGCAGGAACTACGCTACCTGGGTCACAGAATCACCGCCCAAGGCATCTCTGCAACGACAGAGAAGCTTGACGCACTTCTCAAGGTGCCAGCCCTTAAGGACAGGCAGCAGCTGCAGTTGTTCCTGGGAGTCATCAATTTCTACGGCAAGTTCCATTCCTAACCTAGCAACGGTAGCGCGACCATTCTTTTGTTGCTGTGTGAAAACGCCCAGTGGTGCTGGGATAAGCGCTGCGAGGAAACGTTCAGAAAGATTAACCCCCGAATGCAGAGATGTTACTTGGCTCGCGACTTCAACTTAAGCAAGTCGGCCTGAAGCAAGCAGCTGGACTTCAAAACGCGCAAGTCAGGCTTCGCAGTTTCATAGATGCTCAGGCTGTCTTGCTTGGTCAAGTCAAGAACGAGCTTCAAAGCAGAGAACTCGCTGCTCGCCTGTTAACGAGGGTAATAATGACGTTGTTCGTGTAAGGCATGCATTACATCAAAAAAAGACCATACGTTTTGAAAGTAACTATAAAAACGAAGGGCCACAAGCATATTCTTGCCAATTTACGGCTAACGAGCGGCACGTGGGGCCTGCCGCCACAGTGATGCGGAGTGTTGCTTCTGTAAAGCGTTCGTTGCCCGCTGAATACAGTGGCCACCCGAATGCGGGGCGTTTCTCCACGGTTTTGTTTTTCAATCGAACGCCATGATATGTATTTATGCTGACCTGGCTCACGAGGTGACGCAATTTTCACGGTATTTGCCTTTCTGTTCGCCTGTGTGCGTGCCTGTAGTGGGCTAGGTCGCAGTTATGAATGAAAAAAAAAACAAGTTCTGGGAACAAATGTGATACGTATCCTTTCGTAGAGCTTGGTAAATAAGAGAAAAAGCGGGTGTCAGGACATTGCCCTCCACGGAATTCTGTTTTGCGGGGTGCAGCAGTGTCTCTCTGCATGATGGTGAAGCGGTCACCTGTTTTTTATATGTGCGAAATTTACGTACGTTGTGCTACAAGCGATGCCTTTCTGAGAAAGAAACAGTGCCCTAGGCGGCACGAAAGGATAGACGAGGCACACACTCTAAGCCAAAATTTTGAAAAATGAGAGTAACGGCAGCTTTTACTCCTAAAAAGCAACTCTTACTCTCCCAAAAGAAGAACTGGAACAAGATGGCAGACATGTCTGAAGTTGGGGGAGTAACCGTTTCGTGTCCTGTCTGAAAGGGAGCAACAGAAGGACGAACGGCAACACTTGCTCTCGACGCGCAACCGTTGCTTCCCTACAGGACACCACATGCATGTAGAGAAATAAGCACCCACGATAGATAAGTAAACAATTGGGCCACAATTCATTGCGGGCTGGCATAAGGAAGCTACTTTTTTGTAAAGAGAACAGAGAGATACGAGAATGCGGCGACACAACGCAAAGCTTTGTGGGACTTCGTATAGTACACTTCAAAACAAGAGCAGTTGAGAGAAGTACACAGTTGATCACCGTACATTTGCGGTTTAGGTGGACGGTAGCCTCTAATACAAAGCACCAAGAGCCTCGACTGCAGGGTTGCAGCAGACGTCGCAACGCATATTCATATCGCGACGCGCAGCGAGCGTGACTGCAAGCTAACGCTGCTGCCCCCATCTTTAGCTTGTCAGTGTCTAATTTTGGCGAAAAGGCAGCTGTCGCAATCGCGTCTGACTTTCTGTTTAATTTCAGAGCAAGGAGACGTTATCAGCTCAGGCAGTTGTAGTCTGTTCAAAGGGGAGGCGATTCTTGCGTAAATAACAATAATAATATTGGTCACGGGCTCATGACGTTGACGAAGAAAGCAGTCGACGTATAGACGACTGAAACTGTTTATTTGGCCTAACTTATGGCCGCGAAACGAAAGGGCTTTTTACAAGTGCACTGATCGCGGCAAACAGAACGTAGTTCGTCGATCTACTGACAAGCGGCCAAGCAGTGCCGGCTTTTATACAAGCGTTATCGAACTTTCCAGCAAAACTTGCTGGTGGGGGCGTTATCGCTCGGACAAACCTGGAACATTCGCGTCCGGCGAGCAATCTTAACAAAATGATCTGAAGCTTACAAACATCTCGGCGCGGCCCGAGTGGTATAAACAAAACAGTCAATGCAGGCGAAGCACATAACACACATAACACACTACCAATTCAGAAGTACAATAGAAATACACTTGAAACACAGTATACTTGAAACACAATCTGAGTAAACCAAATTTTAAAAAGTTCTTGCTCCGATGAAGAAATTTCATTTCCCCGATTGGTACCCAGCAGCTTGAATGCTTTCCGCCACCCGATCTAAAAAACTAGTTTGGCCACAACACTTGATTTATTGAAGATTTTTCTGAAATAACTAAGCGAAAAAGCAGTTTTTTTTCTAATTTCAACCGCCCCAAGTTTCTTTACAAATGCGTGCTACAACGCTACAAATTCCCTAGTTACGGCCTTGATTCGACAAGGATACACATCACATTCATGCAAAATACAACAGACGCAGCAGCCTGTATAGTCTTACGCACTGCATTGAGCTAGTGGCAGTGGTGGTTGCTTTCATTTTCATGATTTTTGCCACAGATTGTATGGATCATCACCTGCACCAGTCTATTTTCGCCTGCACACACGCACAATCACTGCACTCATTCTCTGTGTCATCCCATATAGATTGACTGCCGTAGTTTAACATTACCATCTGCTCAGTCTGCATTGCTCAGACATAAATGTCAGAGTCCCCCTCAAGCCACCTTTTCATACTTTTCACATGTTCAGGTGCGGGTTACCGCGAGAAACAGTGCTGTGGAAGTTTTTGGTTTTGCTACATTACCATTTCATATTTTAAGGCCTGTGAAAATGCTTTCTTAATCCAATAAAATTACCAAGTTAACATTCGATTCAAGTTAAGTTAAATTCAGGCAAGCTTACCATACATCGAGCTTCAACTGTAACAATGAGTACACAAGTGAAAGAACACAGCAAGAGTATTGTCGAGGCATGCAAAGCTCCTCTTTTGCCAAGGCCTGTTCGACTACCCTAAAACCTTCGCCATAGAAACAGACAATGACAAAGAAAAAAATGAATAAAAGTAAAACAAACACCTTTTTAAATTGTAATAAAAGAACTAATAATAAAGAGCAACTTCTAATTGTTGTATTCAGCCTCGCTGAAGCCACAGCACATTGTTGAAGCCACGGCAAGAAAGATAATTTACTTGAAGGCCAACTGCAACAAAATTTAAAAATCCAAAAGTCAATATATAGGTAGTCTACCTAGAGGTAGTGCTGCTTGCCATATGTCGCCTTTAAATACAAGTGCTTACCTTAAAAAAAACTTGCAAAAGACAGTATTTTTGATACCGAAACTAGAAACAAATGACGCCTTTTTCAAGTAAATGGAAGTGACGCGGACAACAGAGGAATCGTCCGCTCCACGCTCCTCAAGCATGCACATCGCAGCTGCGCCTAAGTTTTTTTTTGTGTTAACCTAACAAAGCTGCATGAACATGCACTGTGAAGGAAAGATTGTGATGGAGGTGTGTCAACGCCTGAATAGACTACGACAACCTGCTTGGCCTGTCTCGAACGTCCAAGAGCAGCAATTCCGCAACGACTTCTGAGCCAAGCCCGAAACACGCGAGGGCGTTGGTTCTCTGAACTCACTCCTAAAGATGCTTGTATTGTTCATTTCCTTTTCATGCTTTGTATCTTGTGTTGTTTGCCCAATTCTTTGTTCTAGTGTATGTTAGTGTGTCGTGCCGCTTGCGTCCTGTTCCTTGCAGCCCTAACAAGCATCTCTGACCCCACATTATAAGCTTGCTCCATGAACCTATTTCATAAAGAAATATGGATAGACGCATGCTCATAAAGGTTGTTCGATGTTGTGTCTTTTGCAGGACACATGCCAGCAGCCTTTTGCTTGCGGAACATATACGAACTTGCAGGCTGTAGTCACAATGGGTAAAACTAGGTTAAATTCTCGGTGCACGAAGTAATCCTCTGTGAAGTGCACCGAGCGAAGCATGACTCTCTTAGATGGCTTCCAATCCGTTCGCGTGACTGCGATAGTCCACAGCTTCCGGAGCTATACATTTACATTGAATTTACATTACACTGAAAGCTGATCTGGAATACAGGCTCAAGCAGCCTACGGCCATGCATTTCGTTGGCATCGTACTTTAAAACTTTCCAAGTCAACCGCTCGCGGACGGGCGTCTCACAGAAAAAAAAAGAGATTCAACGGCAGACATGATTGATAACATGGAGCGATGCTCTGTAGTTTTCGTCATGTCCGGTTCTGTCCAATTTGCCTGCGCACACCACTAGAGCTCCGCATCGTCTGCTTGCTGGCAATTAGAGCACAGATTAAAAATAAAATATGTAACAGCAAGACTTTTCATTGTCATTATCATAACTTACCCTATATATGTACTACGTATTTCTGACCGATTCAGCCAGAGTCGGATTTCCTTGCAGTTGGCCTTTAAGCGAACCGTCAAAGAACTTATGAGAACACCACGACTTTCATGGAGGCTCTAGCGATGTGTAAATATTGCGCAATACCTGTGGATTCAAATGCAAAATTAAATTTTGTAGTTTAATGACTAGTATGTGCTATTACTCGAGACAGCCATGTCACCTTGTGACTAATCTGGCCTATAAAAATAATGCTGTCTCTGAACTGGGCGTTCAGAGTTGAATTTCCCCATACAAGACTACGTGCCTTACTTAGCCTTGCATGACGCTGTTTCAATCTCCGAGTACTGTATATACATACACATATTTCTCAGAATTTTTAGCCGCCATTGATAATGTGAAATTGAAGCAGCTGTGCTCACAATTAACATAGGTATCCTAAGACGTGTCATACAACATTGACAGCACAAAACTGTTAATCATAAAAGGATTCTTGGATGTGCGTTGTTTTAAAGAATAACGATGGAGAGACGCAGAGAAAAGTACACAAGACCAAACGCTTCTGTCTTTGTGTCTTCATTGTTATTCTTTAAAACAGCACATATCTAAGACTTCGACATGATTCAACTAACCTCGTTCATCGCCTTACTGCCGTAAAAGGATGTTCACCCTGTCTTTCTTGAGAGACAGCAACTGCAATAAAACATCTTCGTGCACAGGTTGAACTTGAAGAAGGGATAGTTCCAATGATAAATG